TTTAGTAAAAAATGTCTGGTTTAATTTTCTTTATCTTTATTATCTTAATGTTTCGGAGTCGTTAAATTACCACAGAGCCGGGGCAGCAGCAGCATAACGCAAGGTAGGTGCGTAGGCAGGAGCATATGAGAAAGCAGTAGCCGGTGCAGCATAAGAAGCGGCCAAAGGAGCTGAGTAGGCGAAGGGTGCAGCAGCAGCAGCATAACGGGCGACAAACGGTGCAGGAGCAGCAGCATAGCGAGCAATCAAAGGTGCTGGTGCGGCAAGAGGTGCGATTGGTGCGGCCAATACGTAAGTTCATACTTGTGTAAATTTAAACATGAAATAAGTATAATTTCCTATTTCTCATTTAAACCATTTCTAGGCTGTTGTTCTCTTTGCCATCCTCGCCTGCGCTGCTGCCAAACCACACATTCTTGCTGGCGCTCCTGTGGCTTTTGCTGCTCCAGCTCCGGTGATCACCGCCACCAGTAGTCAAGTTGTGGCACGCAACCATAATGGCATCGCTTTCGCTCCAGTTGTCGCGCCAGCAGCCATTGCTCCCGTGGCTCCACTCGCTAAAGTTGTCGCTCCCGTCGCTGCTGCTCTATTGGCCGCACCAATCGCACCTCTTGCCGCACCAGCACCTTTGATTGCTCGCTATGCTGCTGGAAGACAGAAGAGCAGCTTTTAATCCATTTATGTACTTTTGACTGTCCATGCGACCCACGAAAATGAACATTTCGCCGACACCATCAGCAGCCATGCATCCCCAGATCATAATGCTGCCTCCTCCATGCGTAACAGTAAGTACCACGCAATCTGGGTGATATTCTTCCCCAACCCGTCGCCTCACGAACGTCACACCAGGTGTTCCAAATATCTGTAGAAAAGAAAATAAAGTCATAAGATTTTTATTATGTCTTCGCCCTTGCTCCAGGGTAAGAAGCTATAGCTGTTAATACTTTAAGACGATCTTAACGAAGCTTATCTCGAAGTTTGATTTATCAGACCAGAGAACATTCAACTAATCTTCTTCCGTGAAATGTTGATTTCAGCGAGCACATTTCGAACGATTTTTCATATTCTTTTCTGAGAGACCGGCTTCTTTCGGGCTTTACATGCTTTTAAACCTGCTTCCAGAAGTCTTCTTCTAGCTGTTTGAGCACTAACTGGTTTACTAAATTCACCCGAAAGGGCAGCTGCAAGGCAGGAGGAGATTTTTTCCGATCCTTGAGAGACTCGCGTATAAGTATTCGGTCTTCTCGTTTACTGATTAGACGCTTTCTTTCACTTTTTAATTTATTATTGTGGGATTTCGTCTCCACAAATCGCCTGATAGCACATTGGACCGCGCACCGCGAACATCCCACCAAATTGGCAATCTCAACCTGAGGCTTCCCTTCTTCACTTAGAACTTGAATACTCTATCATCGTAAATAATTTCACTTTTTTTAGGCATTTCGGTAAATATGAACTGTTTTTATAAGATTGGTAACTTTTCACTAAATGTATTTTACACTTTCACTTTCAAATTTTAAATGCGAAAATATTTTATGAATTTCTTAAAAATTACAATTTTTAGGTTTAGTTTACCCAGAGTCCTATGGCTTTAAATATTACACAATTTATTGGTTTAATCAACGGTTAAACACCCGTGTAAGACATTCACAGAAAGAAATGGTAACTTTGATAGCCGCATTTGAGAATAATTGTGTTTTAATGGGGTGCCTAATACTCTTGGCCAAGGCTGTATATTATTNTCGATGGTCATCTGTTGGTCGTAGCTCTGAGACAACATTCTAAATTCAAGGCAAGGTATAGAGGGATCTGGGAAGGGATCTCCGACCGATTGACAAAAGTTGTTATTTGGGTACAAGACTAGATCGTGTGTATGTGTTCACTCCACAGTTGGGGCTTTGAAGCAATTCTTATAGGTTTTATTGATATTTAAATGAAAGGCTTTAGGTAGATAACAAGCGTAAAATCTCAAAACTTAGTACAAGATGATACTTCATAGGCGCTTTTTATCGTTTAACGAAATCAAGAAAGCCACAACAGCGGATATGTATATATCTAAAAATTAAATAAATTATATTAATTGAATAAAGAAATTACGTTAATTAAATAAGTAAATGAAAGGAAAATCTGTAATAAAAAAAGAACAATGAATTAAAATCAAATTTAAAAGTGCTTTTTTTTAATGTTTGATTGCATAAATTCAATGTTTTCAAAATGATTTACACGTTTCTTTCCCCTCCCTCGCTGATGTAAAGTCACTTATAAAAAAATTGATTGTAATTGAATTTTAATTTAGATATTTTATATTTGTTCTTAATAAGTATGTATATTCCTCGTTACATAATTGTTTTCTATTAAACTTTATTAATTTTTTTTTAATTTGAAACAAACAAAAAAATGCTGCCATTGTTACTAAACATACTTTCATCGTCATCGTCATCGTCATCGTCATCATCATCATCGTCGACTTAAACATTAGTGAGTATGCGATCATGACGAAGTTGACCGCCCGCTCGGATCTTCTGATCCGTAAGGATCGCGAGCAGGACCATGGTGGAGGCTTAGCGTTCATCCTACATAACATCGTGCTGTATCGTCTTATCGACGGCGATATCGACCGCAGGGACACTACCCTAGAATTTCAGGGCGTTGCTATCCGGTAAGTCGATGCTGAGCTCGAGATATTTAATATATACATTCCTCTTGTTACAAGTTACCCAGTTGGATATAGTCCTGATATAGGTGCGCTACTCAGAGGCAAAAACCGTTGGGTGTCTCCAACGCGCATCACGGTCTTTGGCATTCTAGCCTGTTAAACCGTAGAGAAATGGAGCTGGCGGAACAGATAGACGATTCGACGATAACACCCCGACCAGAGTTGTGGGTAATTGCCATAGCTCGCCGTACAAAACAATTGCACGAAAGCCTGGCTATCTATACTGACACCAGCAGCGGATTACTTACACATACAAATTTCGATTTGCAAACCTCCCGACTTGGTTTACGCGTATAACCTGACATTTGTTAACTTTAAAAAAGCTAACTGGACCGGCTTCATGGCCCCACTCCAACAAACACGTACGTCACTTCTAGTGAACGTTCATTCCGCAGGATTGTCGTTACCGCTCCCGCCCGCTTCGCTCCGGCATTACGAAATGCGGGAATCCGCCCTCATTACCCGACGAAAGCAGCGATTTTAGCATCTCCTAATCAGGGATTTAAAGGCGGAGATTCGTAAAGTAGTCAACAACCACAAACGGGAAAAGTTGAAGGAGCACTTAAGAACCTGCAATCTCTCTTCTGGGGCAATCTAGCTTGTTAAGTCGGAATACACCATTCCAAGTCAGCCGTAGAACGTGTCTACCTACCACGAAGACAAAGAAAGTATGCAAACAACCTTCTGCTATAGTTCCATGAGCAACAAAATCAACTTCACAAAGTCGTATGTCATTCCTAAACCTGCGAAAAGCGAAATTCATTCACATTAATAACTCAATTGCTATTTTTAGTAAAATCCGACCCGAAAAATCCAATCTTTATGCCCATTGCAAGAAGGCTCGAAATGCACGAGTTGAAAGAGCTCATGAATCAGTTGAACAGAGAGTAGAAAGAAATGCAGCCCAAAGAATTCGCACAGTGAAATTCGTGCCCGAGATTCACGCGAACAGCATGATAATCGGTCGACAAGAAACCAGGGTGGTACGTCCACAATACATAGATAGGTGACCGGCGAAGTGCAACAATTAGAAATAAGTACATATCAATCCGAAAGCTCAAAGAACTAAAGAAAAAAGTGGCTTGTCCATAATAGAAATTGATGAAATTATTCCACAAAATATTGCAGTCCTGTCGACAGAACCCGATAGTGAAAGATCNAAAATAATTTTTGCGTAAGACACGAAAATTTAATTCTTGCTTCCGAACGTCGATGGTCATCTGTTGGTCGTAGCTCTGAGACAACATTCTAAATTCAAGGCAAGGTATAGAGGGATCTGGGAAGGGATCTCCGACCGATTGACAAAAGTTGTTATTTGGGTACAAGACTAGATCGTGTGTATGTGTTCACTCCACAGTTGGGGCTTTGAAGCAATTCTTATAGGTTTTATCGATATTTAAATGAAAGACTTTAGGTAGATAATAAGCGACGCACACATAAGCATACACGTACGTAGCCAGATCAATAATTTATTATAATAAAAGCTCAAAACTTAATGTGTTGGATGATACTTCATAGGCGCTTTTTATCGTTTAACGAAATCAAGAAAGCCACAACAGCGGGTATGTATATATCTAAAAATTAAATAAATTATGTTAATTGAATAAAGAAATTACGTTAATTAAATAAGTAAATGAAAGGAAAATCTGTAATAAAAAAAGAACAAAGAATTAAAATCAAATTTAAAAGTGCTTTTTTTTAATGTTTGATTGCATAAATTCAATGTTTTCAAAATGATTTACACGTTTCTTTCCCCTCCCTCGCTGATGTAAAGTCACTTATAAAAAAATTGATTGTAATTGAATTTTAATTTAGATATTTTATATTTGTTCTTAATAAGTATGTATATTCCTCGTTACATAATTGTTTTCTATTAAACTTTATTAATTTTTTTTTAATTTGAAACAAACAAAAAAATGCTGCCATTGTTACTAAACATACTTTCATCGTCATCGTCATCGTCATCGTCATCATCATCATCGTCGACTTAAACATTAGTGAGTATGCGTTAATTACATTTCATATTGCCATTACATATATATTTGCATAGATAGTCGATATACTTGTGAGTAAGTATGGTATTTTTTTTTTAAGTTATACACAAGTAAATATGCCTAAGTATATAATACAATTGAATTGAATTAAAATTAAATTGAAATTTGCATATTTTGTTCGATTTTCTGCTTGATCATTACACACATATTTTATAATTTAACTAAATTCCCTTAAAGTTTAGAGTTAATGAGTTTATGTTTATATGCATAAGTTTGTTCGTAGTTTACTATAATTTAATATCTCATACTTTTTACAAATTTTCATTTTTTGTTTAGTTGATTTGGTTGTTTTGCTGAACTCATAAAATTTTATTTCATTATATTTATTATTTTAATACATAATAATAAGCAAACTTTTTAAGTGGATTAATATTTTCAAATAAGAGTTATTATTTTATACATATATTTCTCTAACCGCTATTGTTGTTGGATTCCATTGTTGGTTTTTGTGTTAGTTTAACAGTGTGCCAGTTTACTTTCATCAATTCTTCATATTTCTCATGTCGAGCTCAATGTATGTATGTATATGAGTATATTTGTTTGTCTGCGTTTGTATATTTATATATCTATTTTAAATTTGGTTTTTTACGATTTTAGCTATGAAGTTGTTATAGTTGTTTGTTTTGTTTGACTGAGTGATTTTTGGATACATTTTGGAACTATGGCTTTACGTAAATTTGCTTTCTTCTTTTTCTTTGTGTTCTATGTTCAACAAAATACATACATAGTATTAGTTGTTGTTTTTTATTTACTGTTGCTATCATTATAACCTGATAATATTTCGTTTATCAGTATTCAGCACAATACATATGCAAGTTAGTTTGTAATAGAGTTTCTTTAACATCAAGATATACATACAATAAATACATCGGTTTAGTCATATACATAGTATTTATGCATATATGGGTATATACATATACATAAAGTTACACAAACATTGCTTATTCATTTAATAAGATTTTTTCACTTTTTATATACAAGCACGACATACATAAATCTTCTATATAATCGTATATGCGCTTATTGCTATTAGCCGAAAACTAATAAAAAAAAGAAACAAAAAAAAATAATAAAAGAAATAACACAGTTTTATTACCATTATTCAGATTTCTCATAATTCTCTCATCTGAAAAAAAGCAGCGTTAGGCCTAGAATGCACGTGAGTATATAATATATTACACCTATATATGTATGGATGCATTTGTATATTAACACATACATATGTGGCATTTACTTCTATGCTTCATAGCGTATAATTTTATATACAATACATTTTTATTCGCTTAATTTGATGGCAACTGAGGCAAATTTTTAATATCAACTCCATATCAGCAGCATAATTTTTACGAAATTCCAACAACACATCTATAGCAAGCTCGAATGTGACCAAAAAATTTCCTAGAGTTATAAGAAATGTTAAAATGTTGCACAAAGTTCATTATTTTAATCCGCAAAATTATTTGATGCATTAAGTTTTTACTCTTACTTACTTTTTAATGCAATAAATTTTTATTTTAATGCACATTAATTTGGTTTGCATTACATCACGTCTATTAACTTAATTAATTAATTAATTGATTTAACCAAAGTTGTTGAACAAAACTTTGAAATGTGATGCCGATCAAGATTAAACAATTGAACTAGAGAATAAAAACAATCAACGCTTTCTACATTAACAAATTAATTTGTGAAAAATAATTTAATTTTGCAAAACAACAGAGATAATCTCAGATTGTTGTCTTTGTTGCTAAGTTTTTTTTTATTTAAATGCTGATGCGATTGAAAGTTTTATGTTGTGAATTTTTTTATATTTCTCCAATTTACATAATGCAGTATAAAAATATTAACGAAATTATGCCGCAGTAATGCATTAAAAGATAACGCAATACAAAATTTAAGCTCTAAAATAATACCTTTCCCTATAAACCTTTTAACATAATAATTTAAATGCTTTTGGTTTAATCAAAAAAAAAACGGTGAACTCATTTCGCCACTGTACGCTTAATTGATAAGTATCGAAAATGGAGTATGTACATATTTATATACATATATGTATATATATAATATGTTCGATCGAACTTTTCCGCATTCCAAAATCCTACAGAATATCGTATTTGAAGCGATACATAATTAAATTTTTCATCAGAAAATTTAGCGAAACAATTTTACGACGACACTTTTTCGTATTCCTCAAGAGTGTACCCTTGAGACTTTCGTATTGTTGTTGATGTTGTTGTTGCTCCTTTTGTGTAATATAACCATTTTCCTTAGGCACATAACCATTGGCACAAAAGCCATGCTCATTCACGGGCGCGCTGCAGAGTGGCGCACCGCTATTAGAAGCATGTAGTTGTTGTTGAGTCTGTTGTTCTTGCTGCTGCTGATAGTAGTAATCGTTCAAATTAGTTATATAATAATAATCATGGTCCGCAATCACATTTATCTCCGCATAATTGCTATCTTCATCTTCATCATCATCATCATCAACAACATCTGCGTCACCGCTTGCTGCTGCTTCTTCTTCTAGTTCATGTTCTTTCTTTTTCCCGTTACTTTTTGTCCGATTTCTTTTAATCATCATAGCCTCATTGCAAGCGCTTAAATTTTCACTATTTATGGCTTTACCGTTGAGCACGGCAGACTTTTCTTTCTGTTGTTGTTGTTGTTTTGATAAATGCTCCACTCTTGCGTTTCGTGCAAACAATTGATCAAATCACATATTTTCATCGAATTTAGCGAAATTAAAATCATCGTCACACTGGAACCCACCGGTGCCGCCGCCAACGCCACCACCGCTGCCATTTCCCGTACCAGATTTCGCTAATTGTGATCCATTGTTATTGTTGTTATTATTGGCTAATTTAGCATCAGTCGGCGCCTTGAAGAACTCATCGTCCTCGAAGGGATCTTCAGACTTTTTGCCGAATATATTTATCGATTCGGATTTCTTGATCAACTCCTGCCGCTGCTGCAATTTACTGTTACGAAGATTGTGCTTCTTCGCTGCAGCGGACATGAGCGCACCACTGCCGGCGCTCTGCAGTGAATCGGCATGCCATTGGTCCTCCTTTTCGAAATCGAATTGCGCATTGGAGAAGTCATCTTCGAAGGCGGCATCGTCGAACTGTGACACCTTGACGTTGTCGTCGAAGCGCAGCTTCTGGGTTATGATCGGCGGTATCGCATGCAAAGCTGGCGAATGGGTGCTAGCCATATCTAGCTGTTGCTGCGAGCTGGCCACAGTCGACGTGTTTTGAGCGCCACTGTGTAATTTGTCACGTTCTGAGAAATCATTTGAGAAGCGGAATGACGATTTGTTACCAGGCGTGACGCATGCGCTGGCTGTCGTAGCGGCCGGCGTGGAATTGCAACTTGATGCGGTACCAGCTGGCGCCGGTGGTGGTGAACTTTGATTGAAATCCGATTCGAAACCACCATCGAAGCTGAACTTCGTCGCGCTACCAGCGCTAATACTACTGCCGACGCCGCCCACACTTGTTGGTGGTAGGTATGAGCTACCGCCACTGGCGTTCGAACGTGGCGTGGGTGTTTGCTCATAATCGTCGAAATCATATTCGCCACTTCTTGTTGGATATTTCTTTGTCGCTGTTGTTGGTGCACTGCACTTTAAAGAGCTAATCGGCACTTTGCCCATGGAATGCTGTCTTCGTTCGCTCTCTAACATGCGTTGATTCATTTCATGTCGTCGTCGATTTAATCGTTCGAACTTGTCCTCGTCCGTGGGCGGCTCATCGTAATCTTCATCTACGTAGTCCTCCTCATCGTCGTCCACGTCATCGTCGTAAGTTATGTAATCGTAATTGTCGCGCGGATGGGGTGCGGCAGGCGCAGTGCTTCCATAACGGCTGCCAGTAGTGGTTGGTGCTCCCGAGTTGCTATATTGGCTGTCCTTACCACGCGAGCGTTGCTTTTTGCGGAACCTATGTGGGTGTCATAAGCAAGGGGTAAAAACCATGTCATTATTCCACACTTCCAAACTCACCTGCGATCTTTTTCGCCATCCGAACCGGACGGTGTCAGTCCGAGCGTGGCTACTCGTCTACTTTCCGCCAGACGTCGTTCAGAGTCCGCAGCACTGGATGGACGCTTCCACGACTTTTGACCCGGTAATGGTGGTTCTGTAAGACCAACTTTCATAAGATTAAAGTTCTTAGTAGTATTTTTTGTTATGAAAAATTAAAAGTCAGTTTATCCCCATACCCTCACCATCCCATGGACTCGAGCCGCTACTCTTGCGCGCACGCGTTTGCCCCACTCCCATAGCACTACTGCCGCCAGCCGAATTTAGCTGATTTGGACGCTGTAAGCTACGCGTATCTGTGACATTCATGATATTTGCGCCGCTACCCATGCGTGTGCGATGGAAATCACTCTCCGAGTCCTGTTCGTAGTCAATATCGCCAGTGGCGCGCAGCTTGATGCTCTTACGAAGCGAACGCGTTTTCTCCGGTCCGTAACGTTCGCGAAAATCTTCGTGGCTCTCCATGCTGCCATACACGTCGCCACTACCGAAACTACGTCGCCGTCGTGTTGCGCTTTCGTAAGACTCAACGCTATCACGATCGAATGATTTCCGCTCTCGATCATACATATAATCGCTAGCGCGGCTTTTATAGCTGCCAATAACGCCAGCGCCGCCGCCGCCACCCAAGGGTGAACGGCCGTCATCGTAAATATTTTCATAGTCAGCTCTTCGACCGCTTTTTGGTTTTTCGAAAGTTCCCGCATCGCGGTAACGGTCACCGTAATCATCGAAATCGTAATTTGGCCGCGCATAATCCCGATAGTATTTGCTACGTTTGTCATAGCCACTTCGACGATCGTAACTGGATGAGGCGTTGGGTGGGAGCGCTACACCGCGTTTGTCGTAGACGGGTGGTCCATATGTGGTGCGCTCGTAGGCGCTGCGTTCAAAGGCGCGTGCACGCATGCTGGCTGCATGTTCAATATCCTGTGGAGACCAAGTGTGATGAGGTGCATGTTGATACCAGCTGGGTGACTCTGGAAAGACGGCAGATGGGTTTAACTATGACGATCACCAAAAAGACCGAAAGAATTCTTACCCAAATCAAAGTTGTCTCGGCTCCGCGAAAGTGCTGGCTTCAGTTTTCGGTGATCACGTCTCGTATTGAACTCCTCCTCATAACTGTCGAACGAAAAACCACTTATCATTATAAAATTCGTTTTCTAATCAAAATGTTCCAGTTCTTACTCATAATCCTCATCGCAGGAGTTCATGCGTCGTGTGTGTCTCATATAGTAGGCATGTCGGTCCGACACATGTACCGTACTTGGTGGCTGTATTGCTGGCCCAACACCTGGTATACGTTTTTGCTTTTGAAAATCGGACAGTTCGTCATCCCAAGGACTGAGATCCCGCGACGAGGACGATGTGTGATGTCGATCTTTTTTCGGCCACCGCCGACCGACACCCTTACTCCAGCCGTCATCACGTGGATCAGATGAACATGGTGACTCCGCGGTATCATTTTGTGAGGTGTTCGACGGTGGTGGCGGTGGTAAATGTAATGACGAAGTCTTTATGGTAGACTTTGCAGGACCTCTGGCACGTTTATCAATTTTTTCGATACTTGGCTTGGGTGAGTCGAAAGTCGCCCAAAACTCCTTCGAATGTTTCACCTCGGTATCTGGCTGAGAGTTGCTGCCTGTGTTCATTTGTTTCGTAGCCGTGTCAATTAGGTTCGAGACAGCAGATAGTTGTGAGAGCACCGGTGATGCCTGTGGTGATTTGCTTAGTGGAGATTTTTGTTGCTGTTGAACCGTGCCCGGTATTGGTGACTTCTGGAGAGGTATGGGTGAAGTGCTAACATCATTGAATTGCGCCTGAGTTGAGAGTGTGGCGTTTGGACGTGGCAAAGCGATTGAATTGCCTGAAGTTACGATAACTGTGGGCATATTACATGTCGAGTTAGCAGGGGAGATACGTTCGCGTGAGTCCAGCGACAAGTTCGATATGGCACGTTGCATGAGCTCGTCAATCTCCAGATCATCTTTCGAAGAACAGAGCCCACTGCTTCCTGCAACTGTAAGGAACTTATTATCTTGTTTGGCGTTCAATAAATTCGGCGATGGTTGAGAGGCGGAACGTTCAGGTAAGCTGTCATTCATATCCAGCTTTTCGGATTTCTCTCCATCCAACTGTTGTGTAGATGTCGACAATTTCTCATATTTGTCTTGTTCGTCCCCAGCCACCTCAGCATCTTTGTCGTTACTGTCTAGGCTGCTTTCACCACCACCATCATCGTCTTCGTCATCATCGTCGACAGTTAGTGCGGAAGAGGAAGGCTCTGCCGGCAAGCCACGACTGTCTACTAAGCCTAGACGATCAGGACCACTACTGCTAGCGCGACCATCCATTATATGCTTGAGGTCCTGATCTTGATCTTCATTGAACTCATCGCTAAACTCGGGAAACTCTTGTGAGGTCTGTAAAGCTACAGGTGGCTTATTGTCGAAGAGGTTCTCTACAAGAATTATGTCACGTAAAGCGGCGTAACGATCTTTCGCTTGTGCTACTACCTCCGTTATTTTCGTATCAATCTTTGGTGGCTGCGCTTGTTGAGTGCCCGCTGCAATAGTTGCTCTAGGCCCCGTTAGAAAATCGTCATCATCGAAGTTTGCTTCAAAATGTGCGCCAATGTCATCGCTAGCTACTGCCATTCCTAAAACATCAGCTGCAGCGACGCTACCATGCTCGTTTTCGGCAATCTCTTCGCCAATGAGATCTGCATTCTCCTGTTGCTCCTGCAGTTCTTTGTCGATAATCTCACGGAAAACGGCATAACGGTCTGCTGGTGGCACAATTGGTGCGTTAAGCCCGGCTTCTGATAGTATTGGTGCTGGGCCGGCCGGAGGTTCGTTGAATTGCTCGAAATTAGCGAAAGCATCTTGACCCTGTTCTTCGGTCGAATGTGTGGCGAAATCCTCACCGAACGTATCGTCGAATTTCGCAACGAACGTCGCTTGTTGATCGAAATTTACCTTAAACACCGGTGCTTGCGCCGGTATAGGCGAGAGCTCTGGTTTAACCGCTGGCTTTTCCATGCGACGCGTTGGCAGAGGACTCAAATGCCTGGTCAACGTTTGTTCACTGATCAACGTAGAGGCGCCACGCTGGGGCTTGCATTTCTCAATAAACTCTGACAGATACGATGTCAGCTCTACTAGCGTCATAGTGCTTAGTTTGCTGACGGGCACATTCAGTTTTACAGCCAAATCATCCAAGCTCAACGTCATCAGCTGACTGAGTGTGATGTCCGGTATGAGCGGTGCCGCTGTTATATTTGTCTCAGCGCCAGCATCAGTCAACGTCTGCTGTCGTCTTTGCTGCAGCAGTTGCTGTTGGTGTTGTTGCTGAAGGATTTCCATTTTGTTTTCATAAATATCCTGCGACTTGGAAAGCGATTGTTGGCGTTGAGCGCGTGTACGAGTAGAGGTCTGCGTGGGAGGTGGTAAGAGTGGTGGCACATCACCCGCTGAACCGCTGCCAATACTGCTAACACCACTTATAGGCGCCAAGTAATCATCCTCGGTGTGTCCGGGCTTTCGTGGTCGACCCGGACCGGGATAGATGCCATCCGAGCGACCAACACGACGTGACGGCAAGGGTATCGGTGGAACTTCGGCGTTAGCTGCACATAAATTATTTGCTGTTGCATTCACAAACTCATAACGACTGTTCACAGTCATTGGTGCGGCGCTTGGTGGCACTGCATTGCCTGAGGTGACACGCGGACGTATGACAATTTCATTGAACTGCTTCTTTGGCGGCAATGGTGGAGGTTCGGCATGAAGCACAGAATCAGGTCGCGGCGGTGGTTCTGGTGCAGTCTCATTTTCACTCAACGAATCGCTCTCTTGTAAGCGACACATATTAATGCTGTTTGACTCACGCTTGGAGAAACGCGCCTGACCAAAAAGGTGCGGCATTTTCTTATTGCTGATGCTCGAAATGACATCCGCTGTCTGCTGCTTAAAGGCCGACGGCGGCTGACCAACATTAGACAACTGCCCGGATGGTGTAGGCCGCGAACGGACGGTACTATTCGGCGGAATGACACTACCATTGCCCATAGTTGCAACCGGTTCGCTCATTTGACGCTCTAAGCGCGCCACATCTGCACGCCATTGTGCCGCAGTGCTTAGGGGCTGCGTCGGTGTTGGTGTAAGATTGCTCTCTGGCGGCAAACTTACCTGCAACGGACCATTAAAAACATCACCTGCCCGACTCGATTCACCGGTGACGGCCGTTGGCGAAATGCGTTGCTTGGCTGCATCATCGCCGCTGTTGAACTCAAACTCGAACGGATCCAATTTGGCAAAAACGTCACTGCCCTCCTGAAATGGATCGCTCTTCTTGCGGGTCGGCGAGAACGGATCGGTGTCACGCGGCATCATCACCACATCCTCGGTGCCACCAGCGGGTCCTGCGACACCCACAGCACTCTTCGAGTTGGAGTCTAAAGTGTAATGATTTAAATGGAGATTAGTTGGTATGTTTGTTGTTGTTATAGAAGATGAAGTTGAAGCCGACATTAAGGTCGGCTGGTAATGGTGTAATCTTAAATTAGAATTAGCTGATGTGTTATTAGTAGAATAGGTGGAAGTTGTTAGTAAGCTGTTGTTGCTACAAGTGCCTAGTTGCTGTTGTTGTTGGTTAGTATTCGTTAATCTGGTGACAACAACATTAGAAGCGGCAGTGCTCGTGTATTTGGTACTGCTTATGGTGCAGGTGCAAATGTTAACCGTGCTTGGTGTTGGTTGTGGTGCGAGCACACCGATTAATAAGGTTGCTGTTGTTGCTGTTGCTGCTGCTGATGACGACGCATTAGCATTGTTAGTAGCAATAAATTTACTTTTATTAGTGTTTAAGGCTGATTGCAAGCCGGCTATACCTGATGCATGAGTAGTGTTAGTAATGTTAAGTGGTGTTGGTAGAGAGTGCTGTTGCTGTTGTTGTTGTTGCTGCTGCTGCGACGACTGTGTTTGTTGCATTTGCTCGCCTTGGACATCCAAACCACCAGCGAGTGTGTCCTCGAAGAGACCCTCTTTACTCAGAAACTCGTCGACCACTGCCGAGGCGGCTGTGTAATGTACCCCAGTAGCGGTTATATCCACCGTGCCGTTGCCACCGCCGGATAAATCATTGAGCACTTTCTTGGGTGGATTCTTCAACTCCTGGAAGAAGTATTTCTTATCGACGTAAGGGCGTGTGCGACCCGTACCTAATGGATCCAAATCTGTAAAAGCATCTAACACAGGGGAAAGAGTTATGAATCAGTGAAATGGTAGACCCGTAGCCGTGTGCAAGAGGATACTTGGAAATGTCATTGGAAAGCATAGTGGTGCAAAATAAGCAGGCTGTTATATGAACGAACACCAAGGCAACACAGTGAAAAATGGTGTGTGTGAAGCTATTGGTTGAGTGGAACTGGAACAGAACTGAAAAACTTCACTTCCATAAGGTCAGTTTTCGTCACGTCTGGCCAAGGTCCCCTCAAACAATAAAACATTTGCATGCTAAATTTACAAAACCAAATCCTTAAACCATAAAAAATAACTTAATTATGAATGTACATTGGCAAAACAAATATAAAGAACAAGTTCGATTGGAACCGAACATTTGGTATCAGGCTGTTGCAACTCTGAAAAAATATGGTTGAATTTGAGCCTCTTTCGGCGCTTACTTTAGAAGTCTTCAGTCAGGCCAATAGCGTTAAGGAGTTCCGAAAAGCTTCCTCCCAAACAGTTAAGCAATTGGAGCCCTCTTGCTTTCATATGGGTTAGTTTCGTCTTACTAACGTGTTATAATTTACACTGCTCACTATTCCCACAAAGATTGTCGAAACCTTTATGATTTTTGTTCTACTCGGAAAAGGACATCAAAATCGAGGCGCCCAATGTCTTCACTATCGGAAAAGGAGTAATATTTAGCGGTGTGAATAATCTCTAAATAATCGGATGTCCCAAATCTCAGCTGATGTATCCTATCTACATACTTTCAGGAGCCACCACATTTGATGGTTGCAGTATTTGCAGAGCAGATGTAGCACGCTTTTCTAAGATAACTCCAGAAGGGACAGGAAGAACTCATCTCGCAATTCTATGTGTTCTAATGTCGAATTTTATTTTTGCGTCCGTCTCAACGCCCCTTTGATTCAGCCGAATAAGAAAGTATGATATAAATGAAGTTCTGCATTCATCAATCTACCTGACTTCACAGCCGCATTTGCTGACACCTGCGACTGCCCATCGCCCATCATTGGTATTGGTGAAGATGATGTGATGCCAACATTACCAGCTGCTGATGCACCCGCTCCATTGGACGGTTGAGCGTTTGTAATGATTGCCGCTGCTGCAGCTGCCTCAACATCGACGAGAGCCGAATTACTCTCACTTAATTGTTGTGTAGGTGTGGACGTACATTCACTGGGCGCTAATGGCGCCATTGGCAAGCTAACACCCATGCCCATTGCGCCCGCTTTCGAAGTATCAAATACATCATTATGTTGGTCGAGCTCATGCAGCCAACTATCGTCATCGTCCCCATGTAAAGTGCCGCCTGGTGAAGTGCTCAATACCGGTGCAGGCGAAAGTAACGAGGAGAGTGCAACATTTTGGGAAGTGTTGACTGTTGGAGTTGTAGTTGTTACCGGTTGGTTGATTGCACAGCTTTGATCCACAGCTTTGGTTGGTTTATGGCGTGAGCGACCCGATTCCGGTGGCGGCAAGAGGTTGTAAGTCTATAAATGGTATGATATTTAGTTGGTGCATGGATTGAAAGAGAAAAGTTGATTTACAGGAAAGTTGGTAAACGAGTCGCCAAATGGATCATCTTCACTCGCAGGCTTGCCAGCGGCGCCAGTTACACTCGGTTGCGCCGGCTCATTGGGTGTGATCCGTTCCATTTGAGTGATGCCCCGTTGTAGTGAGCTCAGCTCTTGCTCCAAATCAACCAGATCGGCTACTGACTCCGGTGACATCTGCAGGGGGTTTGTAAGTTGTTTCATAAGTAGAAATATAAATTGTAAAATATGAAAAAAAAAATCAACCTCTTTGGCTGCTCCCTTGCCATCTAAGTTAACGCCCAAGCGATTTGACGCTGTTCCACGACTCGTTTCACCCAGACTACCCAGTATGGATAACGTGCTGCCGCCTAAGCTGCCGGAGATAGCTCTAGGATTGAAACTAGTCCCGGCGGCAGTTTTCAGTGAAGACAATGAGGCAAGCTGATGATCATGTATGGACTTGGATTGTATTTGCTGGCGCGCAAGCTCAATTTCTTTCTTCTTCAATTCGAAGACGACCTGGAAGAGATCGCGCATTGCAAGTACGACCTACAAATTTAGAAGAATTATAATATATTTTTTTTATGGCAGCTAACACATGACCTACCTGACTTGCCGCTTTGTCAGTCTTAATGCCAAAAAAACGATGTCCACTATCTGGCGAGCCGAATATGTAGCCAAACGCACGCGAATCCGTCATATCCTGCGCGATGAATGAGATTTTATGCACTGGGTGATGGTACAGCGAATCTCCGGTCTTCTCATCGCGCAGGCGCAACCCATCGATTGTCACATGTATGGTTATGCGTTGTTTGTGTTCGCCCGCGGCGCGTATAGCCATTTTAAGGTCTTGTAATGCCTCTTGGCACATGCGATCCCCTCGTGCCTCGCCCACTTCGAGTATACCAATAAGTTTAGCCTTGAATTGTACGCCATCTCCGAAGAAACGACCGGGGTCATTACGATCTGTGGGGCGAAAATAAATGTATTTAATAAGCGGCTATAATGAATTGAAATGAACACTGAATAAATATTGATTTACGGTCAGCTTTGAATTGTTTCAATGTACATTTTTAAGTCTTAAATAAATCCTGCCTAATGGCGGGTAAAACACCTTGTCGAAAATATTTAAGGAGATATCTTAAAGAAAAAATTAGGAGAGCTCGTCGAGAGCAATTATGGAGGCCTCGTGGTGGCTACTCAACGAAACCTCGCTCATGGTAGTAAAAGTGACCTACTCGGAGCTAAGAAGGAGAACTCACTAAGGTGAGCTGAAAATAGGAATCCACGACGAGCGTAGTTTAAGTTATCTCACAACGTTTATTAAGGAAACTCCGCAAAGGTGAGCCTAAAAGATCTCGTTGGTCTTAATTCAAAACATCTTGTAGTTAAATCAGAAAGTTTGGTCCGTTAGCTCCAAGTAAAAACCGTTTAAATGAGTTGTACACCAGGATAGAAGTATTTGCTCGGAGCCGAAGTCATTATGCCGCGATTCCGGTATGCGTAGCTTTTATGACCGATCGAGTATAATTGCACACGTCTTCTTTCTTCTTCTTAATCTCATTCACATATGCATGTTCTTTTTCGTATGAGAATTAAAAAAAGAACTCCGCCGAAATATTCATCAAACGGTCACAAATTCGCTGTAACTCATGCACTTTTTAATTATATTAATTTGCAAAATAAATGAATGTATAAAAATAACAAGTAAATAAATTCGCTAACGTTTTGCGTAATTCGTCTCCTGCACCCCACTACCGCCACCACCACCACCACCACCACTGCCCACACCAACCGAGGAGAGCGTTGAAGCGAGCGATAGATTTGATGATGCCGCTGATAGCTTGGAGACTAACGACTTAACCATCGTCACTGCTGCGTATTTATGTGACTGTGTGTGTGGCGCTCACCCGCGCTCAGACTCAATAGCTGAAATGCTGTTGTTGTAGTAATTGCTTAACGATGCGGGCGGCTTAGAAAACCTATATAATCCCTGCCGTTTGGCGTTGCTGGCGTATATTTGTATGTGTGAATTGTCAATCTGTAAAATGAGACCTTTATGGCCTTTTGAATTATCGACTGAAGTGCGACCGTTGAATCTGTTACTTTTTAATTCGTTTCAAAATCGACAGCTTATTTTTAGGAATGTTTTTGTAGTTGTTGTTTGCTTTTTTATAACTTTATGTTCTAATTTGAGCCGCTCCCAATGGAACAATTTAGTTTGTTTTTTGTTGTTACTGCGCGTTGGCTATTTTACTTTAATTGTTAATACTGTTATTGTTGTTGCTGCTTTTACTGCTGTTATTGCCCAACAAACACAGTCATCCATACATTAAATACAATATAATCAGCAATCAATCCCACACACATGTGCATATACATACATATGCACTTTTCGGAAGCTTAATTAAATTCATTTGTATGTATGTACGCAAACACCCATTGAGGCGTAGCAATGTTGGCGATCACATCATCAGCCTGCCACAATACATCCCCTGCGAATTCAAGTAGCGCCAGATTGCCGACGTCGTCGACTACAGAAGCGCACCCACTCTACCGCTGCGCGGCAATAGTTATCCCCAAGCGCTGAATCGTCAATTCCTTGTATTCTTTGTTATTTCCATTTATTCATACAATTAGACGACGGCCACTGCAAAGGGCTTTGGGAGGGGGAGGCTCTGTTATTATTATTATTTTTTTTTTTTTTTACTTTTTATCTCAGAGCTCAAAACTTATACTATTTTATATGGATACGTATGTGTGCTTATGTTTATACTGCTCCACTGTCTGTCTGTCTGTCGTTATTTTTGTGGGCGCAAATTGAGACAGCAGTGATAGATGAATGGTGCTGTGTGCTCCTTGCATTCCTCCGCTATAGAGTATCGGTCGATTGCCGTAATGGATGTGGCTATGTAGATGGGCTTGTACTATTTTGCTTGCAGGTAATAGCGCAATGTGTCTGGAAGTGACAGGCAACCGCAAAGGCATACATACATACATACATAATCGTATGCGCGCGCGAGAGTAAACAAAAAGGTATCTCCACTGTCTAGTCGTCGTCGTCGTCGTCGTCGTCGCCGTTGTTGCCGTTGACTAAACAGACTTTGTCAGAATATTTTCATATATATGTATATATGGACGTAGTGTTTTGTTCATATTTGTATACTGATTACGATATCCGAAAACGAAATGACTCTTCACCGCTCGCAGATTAGCTAGAGTTTCCTCAAAACGTGCACGAATGTTTGTTAATTTGTATGTGTGTACACATTTTTTGCTTCCTTTCAGCTAATACATACATATGTACATATATTGTCACCTAGTCTGAGTTTTAATCGCAACAAAAACAATGCGAAAACTTCGTCGCCTTCCCTTCGTGAGCGTCGCACAGTGCTGTCTACGAGCAGTTCCTTTTCGTGCCTGTCGGTGTCTGTCTCCTTTGCATTTATTGATTTTTCGTGCGCAATCTTTTTACCAAAATCATTTACTTTAAATTCCAAATTCTTATTTACAGTTCCACATAAGCAACGCAGCATTCAAAGGCAAAAATGCTGTCATTTCCCGCAAGTCTTCCTTTTCCGACTTTCAGGCGATACACTGCAGCGGCTACGCGATCAATATTTTCACTTCGCTGAACGAACACAATTTAATAATATTTATTAATTTTTACGATAAATAATTTTTAGTTGTGTTTAAATCGCGTTTGATTTACTTTCACTGTTCTTTTCTGAATTTATTTTACTAATTTGTTAGTGTTGTTTTTCTATTTTACTTTTAAAACGTAAATAAAATCACTTTACAGCTGCCTGTCACATTGAAACTGCATCCAATAGAGATAGATTGCCAATACAAATGTATCTGCAAGTAGAATATTCCGCTTGCTACTGTTTCTTGTGTACAAACGTCAGATACTTTTGCTGTGTGCCTGTGTGTGCCTGCGTGTGTGCGTAATGCAGGTGCAGATACTTTTCACGCAGGGTTGCATTTCGATCGGTTGGGAAAGAATTCAGAAAAAAGTAGTGATTCGGTACCAGGATTCAGATTAGTAAGATATTTAGTTTTCAAAGAAAAAATCTGTGCACATTTTAAAAATAATGAAAAATTGATGGTGAGTGGAATGTAATAAAAAACTCCAATGCTTGGTAGTTATTTTTTCTGTAAACTTAACTGAAATAGTTTCACCACTTTTATAACTTTCATGAATGTACTTGAAGCCCAAGAGGGTCTATCTGTTCGAAATGTATACCAATATGATCCAAATGACGAAATGCATTGATTTAGCCATGTCCGTTTTCTCTTTGAGATATTTCAACCAAAGTTGAAATTAACACCAACCTTGCAGCAAGAAAGTTGCGGAGATTTTGTTTTTAAAATTACGCTTTTATGCATTGAATAATTTTTTAATTCGACTGCCAGTGGGGTGGTAAATAGTATCCATTGCTGTAGCGGTACTTGTCCAACCAATCATTTTCAACAAAAGGAACGACCGACAGTATATATTAAGCCGCCTCCGAACGGTTACTGTTTTTTTTTTTACGAAGAGCCTTTTTTTTCATGTCAGAAATACACTCGGAGGGGTTTGCATGGAATCCAGGGCGCCCCTCCGCAATTAGAAAATTGAACTTAACTTTTTTTATTTAAATTAATTTTCCATAACTCTTGGATGTTAGTACGACACCAGAGTATGAGCCCGAGCCTTCCGAATTCACCAGAATACCGAAAACAAACAGAAAAATTGAGAGCACAATGGGCACATTTATTTCCCCGCCTAGCGAGGTTTCCAAAAATGTTGGGGTGTTTAGATTGCACTCATTTCAGAATCCAATCACCTGGAGAAGAAAAAGCCGAGAGTTTTCGAAACAGAAAAGTATACTTTCAAGATGGAAATGACGGACTTTATATGCAGGTGACCTGGTTCTGGACATGACAGCATTAGTTTTAATGATAGTTGTGTGAACCACCGGTTTGAGCAAAACGAATTTAGAGACTGCTTTTTATTTGGGCGACAGTGTTTAAGGAGTCATCAACTTCACAATGTTTCAGCTTTTACATCCCAATTTTCGCACTGAACGGCTTTACAATGAATCTCAAATCCGTACTCGAATTTACATAGAGGGAAAGTATCACATTAGCATATCTGGCGGTGAGCTGTCCACCTGTTACAGTTTAAGTTAATCAGACATATTTGAAAACGAACCTTAGGGATAATTTTTCGACCAGATCGGACCACCAATTTATCGTATTTTAGATTATGGGTCATAAGTCCGCCAATTAAAAAAGCATCTGTGAAGATGAAATTAGGTATCCTTCGCACATATAATGGATTGCATAGTGCTAGTAAAGCTTAGCACGATCGGACGACTATAACATACATATTATACACGTATATATTCCATACATCGATTTATTCAGGAGCTCCGTCAAAAAAAAGAATCCAACNTTCATGTCAGAAATACACTCGGAGGGGTTTGCATGGAATCCAGGGCGCCCCTCCGCAATTAGAAAAATTGAAGTTAACTTTTTTAATTTAAATTAAGTTTTCATAACCCTTGGATGTTAGTACGACACCAGCATTGGAACCCGAGCCTTCCAAATGGCAGAACGATATGCTAACCATGCGACCGAATTCATCAGAATACCGAAAACAAACAGAGAAATTGAGAGCAGAATGCCTACATTTATTTCCCCGCCTAGCGAGGTTTCAAAAATGTTGGGGTGTTTAGATTGCACTCATTTCAGAATCCAATCACGTGGAGAAGAAAAAGCCGAGAGTTTTCGAAATAGAAAAGTGTATTTTCAAGATGGAAATAACGGACTTTGTATGCAGCTGACCTGGTTCTGGACATGACAGCATTAGTTTCAATGATAGTTGTGTGAACCACCGGTTTGAGCAAAACGAATTTAGAGACTGCTTTTCATTGGGCGACAGTGGTTATGGAGTCAGCAACTTCACACTGTGTCAGCTTTTGCATCCAAATTTTCGCACTGAACGGCTTTACAATGAATCTAATCCGTACATCTGGCGGTTAGCTGTCCACCTGTTACAGTTTAAGTTAATCAGACATATTTGAAAACGAACCTAAGGGATCGTTTTTCGGAATCGGCCAGATCGGACCACCGATTTATCATATTTTAGATTATGGGTCATAAGTCCGCCAATTAAAAAAGAATATATATGAGGGTTAAATTTGGGATTCTTCGCATGGATTACATAATGGTACTAAAAAAGCACAATCGGACGACTATAACATAACTATTATATCGATTTATTCAGAAGCTCCGTCAAAAAAAGAAGCAACAGCATGAAGACTATATCACGCAGCCCCAGAATTTTGGTAACCGTGCAGGTGCGAATTCGAATTGATATTTACTTTGAAAAACATAAAAATCGAATTTAGCTTTTTGCAATAAATTTGATAAGTTCATGAAAGGTATAAAGGACTTCGGCACGGTCTGAGACAGCATTCCTTTTTGTATATTCAATATACTTTTTTTTAAGTACAAGCGCATTTAGTACAATATTATTACAAACAATTTCAAAAATTAATTGTGTCTAGTTTGTTTTGTTTCTTATTATTGGCCCACAAGCATACCATAGCATACATAAGTTCTTAAACACATAAATATTTAAGAACACAAAAATCTCGGAGAAAATTACTTATTTTCTATTTGAACAACAAAAGTTTAGTATGAATGAGAAAGAACGTGCTGCCTTTCATGGTCAAATATATAATTTCCTTCTTGACGTTTTTTCTTAACAAATGGAGGTACCTACACTTTATAAAAAGCCGCCTCCGAATGGCTGATGGCTTTTTATGAGGAGCCATTATTTCATGACAGAAATACACTAGGAGGGGTTGAAATTCCCTGCCGAGGGGTGACCAAAATTTTTTTTATCTTAAAAAAAAAAATAAATAAAGTAAAACGTTTTTAAAAGTACAATTCTCGATACTTTCTTAACTAAGGTAATCCTTCGATTTTGATGATTCTCGGTACCAATAATTGTGGGTATAATGCGTGAGAAGAATAACAATTTCATGTTCATGGATGAATCATAATAAAAACTCTTATATCTGAGCAATCACCTGTATATAGTCGTTCTGTTCAATACTTTTTCACAGATACATGCTACAAATGTCTTTCGACCATCTCAAAAACTCTAAGTCTCTCATTAAACACAGGACCAAATCATTTTAGCTTATCATTCTATTCATACATCCATTTCTATCTCTTCTCTTTTTGATATTTACATACTTCGAATCAAAATTAATATATCATCGCATGTTTATGAAACGAATTCTTTCTGAAATTTTCAATACAGCCTTTCTTGGCTCACCTAGTAGACATCTTAGGTGAAAAATGTAGTAAAATTTATATCTCTAACGACGCAAATGATCCAAACCAAATAATTAAAAAGTTTGTTTTGTGGGATCTGAGTTCGTATATAATAAATAAATACAAATCAAAGATTGTTTGCATAAAATACCAATAAAAAACAAGAAAGACCATACCAAATTCATGGTGTTTCATTTTATAATCAAATATTAATTCTCAGAAAAATCAGTTGGAGAAGAATATCTATGTAAAGTTTTCTGAATTGAATGGATTTCACTCTTGTAGATGGTCCTCTTACAGATTTTCGGTGGCCATATGTCTTCCCATTCCGGTAGTTTTTCAAAATCTATATTCCATTTAAATTCTTTAATAAAATTCCTTATTTTCCAAATGAAAGAATATTATTAAAAATTGCTCACAAAAATGGTGAGTCAAAAACTAAGCAAATATTTTTCTATAAATATATATTATCAAATTACTCTCAATACTAAGCCTTGTTTCTAAATAGTCTGCATTGCAATACTAACATTTACCGAGACATGGCTTAAACTTCACGTTTTTGATAATGAAATTTTAAACAGTGATTATAAAATTTATAGGTCTGATCTGTTAAGCAGATTTCGAGGTAGGGTTCATGAATCTCAAGAAGTCCATGTTCCTATCGCAGAATCCGTGGATTTTAAATACCTCTTTTCGCTAGTAGATATTCATAGGTATGTATATAATATATTGAGTTATCTTATGTACCAGATTTATCTTTAGATATGCAACAAGCTTTTTTTATTTTAAAAAGTAATATAATTAATAAAACAAACCGATTCTTTGATTGTTTTTGGTGTGTCTTATTGAAATTCATTAAGGAAAAAATTACTCCAATTTGTAATTGATCAAGTGTAACAATTACTTGAAAGAAATTTCCGACTTGTGCCTCAATAAATTAATTAAAATCAAAATTGCTTAGGTAATATTTTATTTAGACTTGGTTTACATTGATAATGCTTCCAAATTTTCTATTACCAGAAGCGATCCACTTGCTCTGCCGGAGTTTGCCTGTCTGTCAGCAATATTTACATTCAATTGCAGTAATTAACTCACCAACTATTTCTGAGAGCGGGTTGAAAGTTATAGAGATATACTCACTAGCCAAATAACGTTTTCGATCTCCTCACTGCTTACCTCTTTCCAACATGGGTTTTGTAAAGGAAAATCAACAACGACTTAAGTACGGCATTCGAAAGGGTTAATGATTTTATTCTCATCCATAAACAAGATCTTCTTGGGGTTCAATCAAAATTTCGAAATTCTTGAAATACTAAATTGTAGCTGCGGAAGGCTGGGCGGGAGGAGGGTATTTGTTCGGTTTATCATTGTTAATAATGTTTATTGATAGACTCAAATGTACAGGGTGCGCCATCTGTTACGATAGCATAGAATAGTTCCACCTTTTTTGACGCATGGACATTTGCCATGAATCAACTAACACCGATACAACACGCATAAATCCTAAAAAGAGTTTTGGTTCAAAATCATCATGAGAGATGAAGCTCATTTCACTGCGAATGGC